TGACGATTCCCATGCACCACCTTTCGAAAAGGGTTCTTTGCGCAGTTCCAGTTCACCTATTCCAGTGGTATAGTAGTAGTTTTACGTAGATTGCCGACTTTGGGGCAGGTTGGCGCTCCTAACGCCAACGTCGTTCAAGGGTCAATTGTATACAGTTCTTTCCGCTGACGGAGAAGGGAACCGATTGTGAAGACCACCAGAGGGCGGTATATAGCAAGGACCCGGCCGCCGGGAGAACACAGCTGCTTCAGGGAAGGGCGGACTCTTGGTGGTTCCACCAACCCCCGACCTTCTCTTAGGCCCTAGACATTCCCCTTCCAGTGTAGTCCAACTTCCTCAGAGCTTCCATCATTCCTAACTCAAGGGCACCTTCCTGCCTGGATTCCAGGTGTATGCTGTGTTGGAAGCCAAAGGTTCCAGAAACACCCAGTCCAGGGAAGCAGAGCTAGCAATAACGGGAGAGTGGAGAGGGGAACGGTAGAGGAAGCCAGTAGAAACAACAACCAGGACAGGAGATCAGGGAGGGCACTTGAATTATAATACCTATATGCCCTTGCTTGGAGAGCCTACTTTCCCCCATACACCTGGGCTGAAGCAATTCTCTGCATGCAGCCCTTCAAGAGAGAAAAGTTCCAGCCTCTGTCTAGGTTTTTTTTTTCTTGACCAAAAATGTGTGGGGACTATCAGTTATGACTTAGCTATGGATTGCCACAGTGATCAGTTGGTCCAGTAACATCCCCACCCCCTCCTCAAAAATCATTGGCCCCATCCAGACCCTGACAGCAGGGTAGGATGAGGGCTAGGCTGATTCATGGCCTTGAAGGAGGGACTAGGACTGCAGGCTAACAGTAGGGGGCCAGAATTCTTTGAGTAATAGTACACGCAATGGCCTGAGCCCCACCGGAGCCTCTATGAGCAGAGAAAGGACTGCATGTGCCCTCTCACACCTTGGACAACCCTGGCCTCTGCAACAGCCAGTATGTATGCAACCATAGAGGCAGAATGCTGTCCTCTCTGGGTGAGAAAAGGCATCAGCAGCCTGGAAAAGGGCACTTTTTTGGTTTCTTGCTGATGGATTGGGACAGTTCCTCTGAGGGAAAGAAGCAGCGGGGGAAGACCTGCTGGGGAAGAAGGAAGGAGTCGAATGTAAGGTATCGATTCCTGGCTGTGTCCCCTTCCTTCCCACTCTGGAGGTGAATCACCCTCAAAATAGAGATAGTTTCCAATAAGCTCCCAGAAACCTTCCCTTTATTAGCTCACCTGTAGAAAAATGTCAGGCGTCAGATTGGCTGGCTGTGTCAGTGTTAACGCCATGCCCCAGCCCCTCATCTTACCACGCTGGGTAGGCTGATCATTATATTACGATTTATAAATAGAAAATAAAATAATCGGGTGGGACTGAGGCATTGGGGAAGAAGAGGTGAAATAGTCCTCGTCAAGGAGTACCCACTATCAACTCCGCCTACCTAGGACTCCGGAACACCTCCTCTCAGTTGGGGGTTGCCCCTAAACCTGGCAATCCCTTATCGCTTCCATTTTTCTCCCTATCCCTCCCTCCCTCCCAATCAGCATCGTCTGCTGCCCACATCCCCACATCTCAGGCCCTACATCTCGTTTCGGCGGGCGCCTCGACGTTTCTTTGCCCAGAGCTCTCAGCCCAGCAGCTCTTCTGCCAAGCGATAGAGGAACCGGGAGTACCAATGCATGCCGGTGGGCTGGACTGCCCCGCCGGGAAGCAGCGCCCCCAGCGCGTGCAGCAGGCGCAAAGGAGCAAAGGCGCGGTGCGCCCACTGGTGACTCTCTAGAACCGCGTAGCAGGAAGCCAGGACGTCGTTGACCAAAAGTGTCCCGTGCGCTGTGAGAGGCGCAAACACGCCCACAGCTTCCTCGCGCGCTACGCGGGCCACGCGCGCTGGCCGCAGTGCATCCCCGCCGGGCGCAAGCACCGAGTCCCCCGCTCGCAGCCGGCGCGCAAACACCGGTGCAAAGTCGCCTGGAGCCGGCGCTGGCCCTCGAGCGGCGAACACCAGGTGCCAGGGCGTGAGCAACAGCTTGCGCTGGGGCCGCTCGGTCTCCACAGCCACGAAGGAGGCCCGGCGCTGCAAGTCTCGGTCCAGGAAGAGCAGCACAGGCGTGGGCACCACCCGACCTGCAGCGTCTGCTGCCAGCACCCAGTCTCCACGATGCAGTTCCCGTAGCCCCTTCCGCTCGCCGCTCCGCAGGCGCACGGTGGCATTTCCCGGAAAGCAGCCGCCTGCCCTGACCGCTAGGGAGTTATCTGCCAGGAACAAGCATAGAGAGGATAGGATGAAGAACAACGTTTCCAGAATGTTAGTACAGCTTCTTAAAGATGTGGGTCAAGTCCAGCTCAGACCTCATCAGTTCCGGGACTGCAATTTCCCACCGATCTGGCCCCAACCTGGGCAAATATGGAAGGGTAATTTACAACACTAACGCCCACCTTAGTCTCCCCTAGAGTTGCAACAAGACTGTGCAACCTCAGTTTCCCGGAGTGAGCCCCTTTGGGCAGACCTCACCACCCACCCCCTACTGTACCGGCTTTGACCGACACGTGGACGTGGTTGCGGGACTCGTAGTAGACCCAGTCGAAGCCGGCTTCCACTGCCAGGCGCGCCAGCAACCCATACTTATTGCGGTCGCGATCGGACGTGGTGATATCCAAGGCACGGCCTTCGTAGTGGAGTGAGTCCTGAGCATGGTGGCCGTCCTCGTCCCAGCCCTCGGTCACCCGTAGGCGCACTCCGGGCCACATGTTCATTACCGCAATGGCCAGCGCGTTCACTCGCTCCTTACAACGCTGGCGGGGAATAAAGGAATCAGTCTCCCCACTACCACTACCACCACCATGGGGACAAAAGGGACCTGGACGGGAGGGAGGATTCTTCTGTTTTCCCGTCCCCACTCCACTCCCTCTTTGCTTTGAGTGGACTAAGGAAGTAGGAATCTGCATAGGTGTAGTCGCCAATCTGCACTGCCTTTTCAGAGGATCGTTAGAGAACTGTGGCGTCACCTCTGAGATTGAGACGGGAAGCCTGTACCTAGCTCTTTCCCCATTTTTAATGCCCATACATCACCCCTACTCCTTCTGGGACCTAAGCTCAACCTGAGAGAGAGCAAGAGTTGAGATGGCTGGTAAAGGCTTGATTAGGGAAGGGTTGAGCAGCCTGGATCCCGGAGAGGAGCCCCAGTTTGAGCCTGGCTCCCGCCCCAAGCCCCGGCTGCCCTCCCTCCGCCTGATTCATCTTTTGTTTCGTTGCCTTCCCTGGCACCGGGCATCGCTTCCTTCCTTCCTTCCTTCCTCCTCCTCCTCCTCCTTTCGGCCTTTAGCATTAACCGTTTCATGGTGTGAGTGCCCCCCACAGAGGTGCCTAAGCGGAGCCTTGCGGGATCAAGACTGCTGGAAAAAGGGTTGGAGTGGCGGGGGCTGTGCGAAGTACAATGGCCATTCTCCAGGATGACTTAACCGAGCGAGAATCCCGGGCCGAGGCCGGGGACCCGCGGGGAGAAGCGGACTCAGCAGCTCCATCCACAAAGGCGCTTTTCAGCCGCCCCGGCGCAGGGAGAGGAAAGGGCAGAAAGCCGCGCCCCTCATCCCTGCTCCGGCCCGCCGGTCCCCTCCCCCAGCGCGGCCAGCCCTCCTAGTTGCAGCTCGGGCTCTGCCAGCCCCGAGAGCCCCCATCTCTCCATCTCTGGTCCAGATGCAGCCAAGAAGGGCATGGGAGCAGCACCTGAGAATAACGGGAGCTGTCCTTGCGCGGATCTGGGGGGCCCCCTGCAGGGTGGGAGTGGAGAGGAGGAAAAGCAACAGCGGCTGGAAGCCTGCACCTGGGGGAGTGAGACCATGGTTATCTCGGCCGCTCCAGTCTGAGAGCCGAAGACCTTGGCGCGCACCATAGCACAGCCACCGCGGGAGGAGGCGCAGAGAGGACAGCTTCCTTTTCTTCTTCTCTTCCGACCTCTCACCTAGGACTTGGTTTTCTCCTAACTGCCAGAGGGACACTTTCCCCCTGCCCTTCTTCCTGAGCCCTCTACACCTCTGCGGGGTTGGAGAGGAGGGGAGGGAAAAGAAAGAAAAAATGGTAACTTCTTCCGACTTTATGTCGTTTTGTCCCCATAGGAGGCCCTGAGGCCTTGACCTGCGGGGGCAGCAGCCCAGTGCAGAACCAACTCAATGGAGGCCTTTTGCAGCCAGCGTGTGGGAGATAAGTAGGACTAAGGGGTTTCCCAGGCCTGTCAGAGCCGCTCTGGGTCCTGTCCACTGTTCTGTCTCCTCTACTACAGGTGTCAGCCAGAGGAAATAACCATAATATTCCATGATCAAAGAGAGGAGTGTCTCCTTCTCAATCTCTGGGTAGGAGGAAGAGTTCAGGCTAACAGCAAGAAGGAATTCTTTCTCCCCTGGACAGGTTTTCCCAACAAAGTAACCTGGAAAACTATGGCAATTAATAAGAGGAAATCCGTACCCCTCCCACTCCTCCACCTCCCTACTCCATACACAATTAAGTGGTGTAATGGAAAGTGTATAGGACTTAGAATCAGGAGTCCTGAATTCTAGTCCCAGCCATGCCACTAATTAGTTTTAAGACTTTGATTAAATCGCTTTTCCTCCTGGGGCCCAGCTCTCACTGTAAAATGGGGAGTGGGGTGGTGGTGGAAGAATGTGACCTCCACATTTCCTTCCAGTTCTGATCTTTGAGATCACCGGCCAGAGGTGGTCCTTCTCATCCAAGGCATTGCTCGCCTCATCCTAGGGTGGTTAGGTTCTGGTCTGCAGTAGATGCATGATAAGTGGTAGTTGAATTTTAATTCTTTAATTCCAAGGAAAGCCCCTGAGCTAAATTAAACTTGAGGGACATAGTAACCCTTTCTTTCTCAGGTGGGCCCATTTGTTTTTCCCATTGAGGACTGCTTTACACTCCTCAAGACAGTCATTTAGACTCTTGAATAGCCATGCCCTGGCTCTAGGACGCCCTGCCCATGCCAGAGATGATCTCTTCCCAGCCCCTTCTCAGGTAGATGGCCTGATGACCTGACTCTTGGCCTCTCTTTCCCAGCCCCCTTCAGTCTCTTTGGCTAGCAGAGCTTTTCCACAATCAGGTCAGGAGCAAGGCTAAGGGCAGAGCTTTCTGTCTGCTGCCTAGCCAGCTCCTGGCCCCCAGCTCACCCCAGCCCTTCCTGCCTGGCTCGGTAGCTGACCCCCGGTCCACGCCTCAGCCATTTCCCGTCTCGCCTGCCGCCATCCCCCTTTCCCCGCCCTCGCTGTCTCTCCCAGCTTCACTCTCACTAGTCCCTCCTCCCTCTCCCCATCACAGCCTCTCCATGTTCGGATCCCTCCTGATCACTCAGTCTAGCCAGCAGTTTTTCTTTTTTTTCTTTTTTCTTTTTCCTTTTTTTTGGTGTGTGTGTATATGTGGAGTGGGAGCGATCTTTAAGATAAGATCTTTATAGATGAAGCCCGTCTCACCCTCTGAGGTTGCCACAGGAGAGCAAAGTTGGCAGCGCCCTGGCGCAGGTGGGGCGAGGCCCTCCTTACCTCAGTCATCAGGCGGTCTGCGCCACTGTTCTCCTCATCCTTGAAGATGATGTCGGGGTTGTAGTTGGGCACCAGGTCCCTGAAGCGCTCCGAGCCCCTTGCCACCCTCCCCTCGGCTGGCCCACTGGCGCCCAGGGTCCGTTCGGGCACGCTGGGCACAAACTGCTTGTAGAGCAGCGGCACCAGCTGCTTGCGCACATAGCGGCGCCGGCCAACCGGCCCCCGGCCCGGCCCACAGCTCTGGGCTGGCAGCGCCAAAAGTACCAAGCAGCACAGGGCCACCAGACTGGCCGGCAGCGCCATGGATGCAGCGGACTCGGGCCAAAAGGGAACGTTCTTGTCCTTACCAGCTCGCCCGTCACTTGGGCATTTCACCAGGGAGAACAGCAGGCAGAGCTGCCCCCAGAGTGCCCTAGAGCTGTTGAAGCTCTGAGCACCTGGCTGCCGCTAGCTCTGCCTACATGCCCCCAGGGGGTCTGGAACCCGCTACTGACGGGCCATCATAGCAGGGAATGGGGGACGTGGGTGAGTGCCAGCCCAGCCTGGCTCTGCCGCCCGGTCCGGCGCTGCCACAGAGCCCGGGCTCCGCCTTAAGTGGCCCCTGGCCCCGCCCCCTGCCCTTCGCCCAGGACCGGCCCGCCCCCTCCCACCAGGGCGGGGGCTCTAGCCGGTCACCGCCGGTCCAGTTAGTGACTGGAGTGTGTCCCATTCTGGAAACCAGGCAGTCACCTGCCTAGGAAAACCTAGTAGCTTTACAGTCTTCTGTTGCCTGGATAAGCATCCTTCTATCTCCAGTCCTAAGCTTGGCACCAAATCACACTCCTCTGATACTTGAATTGGACCTTTGCTCTCCCAAAGGTACCCTAGCAGGCCATGTCTTCTGCTACCATCCAGTAAGTATGGGTTCCACTTTCTGCTCAAGGCCAGTCAAGCTCTTTGGTCATACAACCACAGCCTCCCTTCTCAGTGGTCCTTCCCAAACCTCCACCATTTCCATCCTTCCTCATCAGCAGTAACCAGGATGGGAAGGGATAGGTACCAGCGGGTCATTTTCCCTAGTCGCTTTGCAGCCTTCTGCTGGGGGCTTCCCGCAGAATCAGGAACAGAGCTTTGTAGTTAGTCTGGTTTAGGACTTCAAAATCTTGCCCCTCTTTTGTCCCTACCAGACACCCAACAGCTCCTTCTTTTCAAATAACTTGTTAATTGGAAGTTGCTGGTGCTTAAAGTCCCTAACACGGTAATGATCACTTTCTTTTAGCTCTCACCTAGTCACCTCTCTAGCCTTGTCCCTCTGGACACCTTGGGGGCTCTGCTTCCAGCCACTTAGGTCTCATCTCAGAGGTTTTGAGCCTGGGGACACTTCACCCACCAATCTAAGGTTTAGAAATCACTTTCTCTAAGAAGCCTTCCCTGATGTCCTGATACTGCCCACTTGTTTTGAGAACCAATAATTTGCCATTCATTGTGGTACAGCATTAGAATTGTGCCACATATAGTAGGCAAAGCAATTCTTAAGCACAAACTTGTTTATCATGTATCCCCACAGCTAAGTGCCTAGCCTATAGTAAGTATTTGTGGCACCTACACTTTTTGTATTCCATATTCACTTCTCACCTCCATGGCTAGCACTCATAGCACTTTTATATTAGAAAAAAGCACCCCTTCATCAAGACACCTGACTGCCATTTGTCAGAAAAATATTCATAGTAACTATACATAAGACTACAAGGTGAATGTTGGCCCTAGAAGTTGTGCAATGCACAATCTGCATAACCCTGAGCAGAAACTGCCACTAGCCTCAACATAGCAGGGGGCTTGCATAGTATTCAGGGCACTGAGAGCCTCTGGAAAGATGGAATTAGGTTCTTCTCTGAGGTGGATCACAAACCTTTATCAGCTAGTTCTTTTATTCCACATCCAATAGTCAGTCAGGGAGGATAGTGCTGAGGGTGTGTGTATACAGGGAAATATTATTCTATTCCTACAGCTATGCCCACCTACCCCCAACACCAAGGCCAGGCATATAAGGAAGAGTCAGGGGACCAGCCAGTTTAAGGCAAGGCTAAAGGAGAGGAGTTTCCCACTGTATGGTCTAACATCAGATGCAAGTCCCAAAGAACACTAAGAATGCAGATGGAGGGAAAAGCAAAGGATGGTGGGCAGGACCCCTCTGTTTCTCAGTTGGTAGACTCAGGACTTGTGAGAGCAAGGCTGTTCAAACAGACACAGAGGCAGGTCCTTTAAAAAACCAAAGCAAACCTTGGGATCAACTTTATTGCTGATGGTTGTGGCCTCTTCTTCCCCATGCCCTCGTCTCTCCAGCGGTCCAAAGCCCCTCTAGGATAGCACAGTGCTTAGGTTCTTCTGGGCCAGAGGCAAAGAGAGACAATCTGCCTCCCAAGTCTGCTCCCGCTCAGTCCCTCCCCTGTCCCAACCCCACCCTATTGCACATCAAATCATGTAAACATGTAAACATGGCTATGGGCATGGCCCGGAATAACAGTGAGGCAGATTGATGTGTAAACGGATTTGGGACCAGCAGCCAGATCCAGTTACTCAGCCCCACCCTATGCTGAGGCCCACAGTTAAGTCTGGAAAAACAGGGAGGCCTGGTCCCAAACTCTGGCTCAGGTAATGCAACAGTGCAGCTGTGCCCCTCTGCCACCCACCCTCTCTGATTCAAGTTCCTAAGTTCCACCACTCCCGGGTGCCCCTCCAAGCCTGGGCAGCAGATGGCAGTGTCCAGTTTTCTCCCTCCCACTCCCAGTTGGAGGTCACTGGTGCTGGGCCTTCTTAGATGCCCGGGGGAAACCGGAGACGGGCAATGGCAGTCTGTCCAGCCCTGGAAAAGAGGGGAGGTGGGCAGTCAAAAGTAAAGCATAGGTCCAGTCCTCTGGGATAAGATAAATAGGCCACAGAATGGGTAGATGAGGGAGGTGACAAACAAAGCAGAGAACATGCCACTGTTCCAGAGGGCTCCACTTCACAATCACCCCCCCAGCCTGCACCCTCCACTCTCTCTTACCAAAGGCCCGGATCAGCTCTGCCCGCACAGCTGCGGTGAAGGTCTTCACCAGACAAAGAGTGGTGAGGCCCGCGAAGGCTGCATTGTAGAGGAACACGATGTAGAAATTGCCCAGCCAGTTGAAGCGTCCAAAATCACCCAGCAAGTCAAAGCGAGTGAGCCCTGAAGTACAAAGACCAGGGTGGGATATGGGCTCCTCAGCACCTCTCTGGCTCAGTGCCTAGCTTTCTGCTGCCTCCTGGTGGCCACAGCTCAACACTGCAGCTGATAAATTGACCTTGCCAATGTGTTAATTATTCCTACCTCCCAAGCTCTGTCTCAGAGGCAGTTCAGGACTGTTGAAGAAAAGTATCAGCTTTTCCAACTTCCCTTCCAGAGTTTGGCATCTTCTCCTCCAATGGGGTCCCCTCTGGCTCCAGGTGTCCTGAGGAGCTCCCTAGGCCTGCCACTTGTTCCTGGGTCAGGAACCTACAAGCTGGTCTCCAAGTGCTTTTTTAGTAGACAGCCTTGTGGAGGCTTAGAGCTCTGACTCTGATCAGGCTGCTTTCGTTCACATCTAAACTCCACCCCAACTAACTGTGTGATCTGGGACAAATTCCTTAAACATCTGTGCCTCAGTTCCCTTAACTAAAAAGTAGAGAAAACAGTGGAACTATGAGAATTAAACAAGATAGTACACATAAAGCACTATATGTGCCAGGCACTATTCTAACACATACTGAGCCCTTAATAATAATAATATCATCATAAATAAAAATTCTGGGGCCTTCCCCCATTTAAATATTCCCACCTGCATACAACCTGAAGGAACTAACTGCTGGACCTAGTTTGCTACTAAATCCTCATGGTTTAAGTACAAACATATAGGGGAGAGGGTATAAACATAAGAACCAAATAGAAGTCATTTAAATTCTAAGTCACTTATGATACATGGATGATGATGTGGTGGAGGGGGAATTACTGCAATTCTCATACTACCTTGGGGTGAACTAGTTACGCTTTGGAGCATTTTTACCACGTAACTTTAGATCATAGCTCTAAAGACGGGAGACGCCCCTATGTGTGGAAAAAGCACTCAACTGGGGTTTAGAAGACAAGGGTTCTAGCCTGACTTGGTCTTGCCTCAAACTAGCTGTATAACTGGGTAAAATCAATTAGCTTCTCTGTTTCTCATCTTTAAAATGAGAGTGTTTATTAGATGATCCAGCCCAAAGAAAGATTTGAGGAAAAGTGGTATCTTTCCACCAAAAAATGGATATAAATAGGGGAGGCTGTGAAAGTAGCAAGTGGATAAAGTATAAGCCTTGAAGCAACACTACTTTGAAGCTCAGCATAGGCATTTTACAGAGCCCCAGTTTCTCCATCTGTATCATGGGGTTAATTACCTCCTCGTAGGTTTGTTGTGGAACTTAGGGAGAGCATGTACATAAAGTGCTTGCTTAGCACCAGGAGGTACTCAAAAAAAGCCAATTTCTTTACCTCCTTTTGCTACTTACCCAGGGTTCGAGAGAAGACAGGAAGTGCTGAGCTTAAAACGAGGAGACAGACACAGTTCCCGATTATCTGGGTGGGAATAAGGAAAGGGAGGTAAGGTAGCAGAGGTGCCAGCACCTAGTCCCCATCCAGGCCCCCAGGAAGCTTCTTTTACTCCTGCCCAGCTACCTGAGTCATGGCTGTGTCATGCCATCTGGGCCGCAGGCCCCGGAAGAGTGGAGAGCTGTAGAATCCCATAACCGAGGATACCATCAGATAACTGCCACTGGGGTTAGGGAAGAACTAGCCAGTTTCCAAGGATTAATGCCTCATCTCAAAGGGGATGGACCCCTTTACCCCAGTCCTCTTTTCAAAAACAAGTCTTTTCCTTATTTCTGAACTTCGAGTTGGTGAAGACTTGCCCCCTCTCCCCTTCCCATCACTCCCAACAGAGCTCTGCCCAGAGTTCCAGAGGAGACAGACTCAGGAGACAGGCAATGGTGGGTTTCCAGAAGGATACAAGATGAGTACAACTTGAATGACGGCACCAAAGGAGCCCAGCTTGGAGAAGGAGACCTGGCCCAGGGAGGCATCCTGAGAGATGGAGCAGTGTCACTGTGGAACACTCCCCACCATCAGTACCACCCAACACCCAGGCTTCCCTCTGACCTCAGCTTCTGCTCCCCACCCCAGTCTTTCTAGGACTGTCCCTAAAAGACACAGTGGGAGGACAGCCCCATACCTGCATGCCCCGGGGCATGGCAGCCTCATCAATGAGCAGCTCCAGGATGTGGATGGCCACAATGAGCACAGATAGGCCCTGTGTGAGGCAAGGTCACAGATTCCCATCCTTGCCTCACCCACAGCTGTATCCAGAGTGAAATGTTAAGAGCGGACACTCTCGTCCAACATTTTCAGTTTCTAATTAGCTGTGTGGGACCTCCTCAAGGCCAGTGCTAGCAACAGAGCACCATCGAAGGTATTATAAAATGCACCCTCTCCAAGTAGAAAGATTGCAAAAAGACTAAAGAGAAAAATGGACCTTTTCCTCCAGACTGATAAGACCTATTCTCAAGTCCAAGTTGTGGCAAGTAGGAGGATAGACTAGATTTCAATCCTTATTTTCACCCCAGAGCAAACCTTCATAACTACTCAGTAGCCCTGTGTGACCTTGGGCAAACTCATCTTCTGTTTCTTTATCTACAAAATGAGGGTTGATGTGCTCAGCACAGGGTAGGACACAAAGTAGGCACTCAGTGAAAGGCAACTACTATTATTGAGGATAACCAGGTCCTCACATCTCCTCCCTCTTCCCTGAGAAGGCCTAAAGTACTCAAGGGCCTACTACTCCCTACCTCCACCAAGGTTGGTATACCCACCGTCAGTACCAGCAAGCATAGCATGGCCAGGGGGTAGCCCAGGTTCCGCTGCCAGGCTGAGGCCTTCCGTCGCTTCTCTATGCAGGGATGGGAAGCTGTTAGCAAGGGCCTAGAACAAGGGGCTACTCAACTTGGGAAAACCCAGGTATCCTAATCTCTACCAACCCACATACCCAGCAGGACCCTCTGTGTCTGCAGAGCCAGGACCTGTCTGTGTAGCAGCTCCATGTCCAAAGGCAGCCAGCAGGAAGTGGGATCTGAGGACAGAGAAGATGGTACTGCCCCTGCCCAAGCCATGCCCATCATTCCAGCTAAGAAGAATTGCAACTCACTGCAAATCCTGCGGGTCAAAGCTGCTTCCTCAAAGGCTGAGCAGTACAGCTGCTCCTCCAGGTCTTCCAACAGCTGGAAGCAGAGGAAAAGGTGGAACTAAATGTTAGAAACTCCCAGACCCAAAGGGTACAGAAGCACATTGTCCTCTCAAGGCTTTATAGCCCCGTTCCTTCCCCTACCCTTCATTCACAACTTCGTGGCCAGCAACTTTACCCATCCCTCCCAACTGCCTTGTTTTCTGCTTTGCATATCTGGTAAGCAGCTCCAGATGATGGTGGTGAAGGGTACAGAAGCCAACAAAGGCTGTGGCTCTCTGCAAGATGTGCACTACACAACTGTAGGGTTGCTTCGTTGTTTGGCTCCAGCTTTGCAGGAAGCTCATCCCACAGGATCAAGGGGCAATGAGCACTACATACCCGGGGCTTGACCAGCAGCTTCCCAGTGACCGAGAACATGCGGGCGAGACCTAGCGGAGTACACACTGTGGGGACAGGAGCCAGTCACTTGCCAGAGTCTTCTCTCTACCACTTCCCCTACCCACCCCTCCATTCTCTCTCCTTCCATCCTGGTGAATCTGGCTCAAGGACCTTACCCATTCCGTCCCAACTCTGAACACTCACCCAGGAGCAGCAGGACCCCAAGGAAGGAGATGCAGGAATAGAGGTAGGGGAGGTAGTACTCCCAGAAGTCTAAGGGTGAAAAAAGAGGTACAGTAAGCTCATCTCTTTTGGTTTACTGGGGCTGACAGGCCTCAGCAACTAGGCTAAGGACATTAATACAAAAGCCTACGGGGGTTAGGTAAGTAATGCAAATCAGGAAAGCTGGCCTGTGTCAGCAGATGAGGGAGTGGCAGGGACTATAGCAAAATGGAGATCCTAAGCTCTACCTAAAGGGTACAACTGCTATTCGGTCCCAGTCACTGGGAACAAATGTGGCCAGATGTCAACCTTGTCAAGCAAAGCCAGAGATCTGGATAGTAATGTGAAACCTCCCAACTTTAACATGTCAGCAAATGACACATATTTTTAAATCATTGCATGGGCCCAATGGAACATTTCTGCAGGTTGGATCTGGCCTGAAGTCCATCGTTTTGAAATTTCAGTCTAATGGAGATGATCTCAACCCTCTCCAACTTTCCCTGGGCCCAAGCTAGAGAACATCAGCCACCTGAAGAGCCACTCAGCCTGGAGGGTGGGAAGGAAGCTGGTCCTCTCACCATAGAGTGACTCCCTGCTGGCTTTGTTGTTGTCCACAATGGCTGATGCCACCCACACCATGCCCAGCACCAGCAAAGTAAGGAGCATCAACATCACCACCGTCTCGTAGACCCGGCCCAGGACACCCTACGGGAGAAGGCAATTGATGGTGGTGGTGGTAGGGGTTAACATCAGGGCAGTGTGGAGAAGGAAGGAAACACTGGAGATGGCAGCCTGGCTGAGGGAACCAAAGAGGACCTCCTTTGGGAGACAGAGGAGGGCATTTCCCTCTTATTCTGCTAAATCACTCTGTCCTCCTACCTACAATCTGGGGCTGTTCCCCATCCTCAATATTCTTCATTTGCAAACCCCCTCCCCAGATCCCTTCCCTATCCTTATCTTGACCTGGGAAGCTGACCCCTGAAGTCTGCATTATACAAGCTCTTTTCCTCTGGTTTCCTGTTCAGCTTGCCCAGTGGGAAGGACCAGCAGCTCCTCTGCTGGGCAGCCACACCTTCTCAGCTTCACCTACCAGTGGGTTTCGGAAGCTATTTCTTCTCTCTGCTCCCATAGGCCTAGGGATGGTAATGACTTCCTGCTGTCACTAGCACCTCAAACTCTTTGTTGGTCCCCTCAACTCCGAGTAAACCTCTGCAAATAGTCTCTTCATTAAAATCTCTTCAGTTGAACCATCTGAGTGGAACTCTGTTTCCTGCCTAGATTGATTGATGTATCCCCTACTCACCTTTCTGGAGCCAGCGAAGCCCTCAGACTCAGTGAAGAAGTACGCAAAGGGCATGAGGAAGATAAGGGACAGGTTGGAGAAGAGAAAAACAAGATTCCAAAGGCCTAGAGCAAAAAAGGAAAGGCAGAAGTGGTCAGGAAAGGGAAGGCCCAACCCACTGGGGGCTAATCATATGGTCAGGGAGCCAGGGACGGGGTGATTTTAACTGATGAGCCCAAAGCTGTCTGTGCCTGCCAGGAGCCACGCACCATGGATGAGGGAGCCGTTGAGCCACTGGATGTAGTAGTTCCGAGGCAGTGAGAGCAGCACCTCATTGCTGATGATGGAGAAGGGCAGGAGCAGGACAGCACCCAGGGCGACCGCCAGGGTAAAGGTGCAGAGCTCAAGCCTGGGCAAAGAAGGGGAAGCCCTTGCTTAGCTCAGACACTCACTTCCCTGGGCCCAAGAAGCCCCATTTATCCCTGTAGGCACCTGTGGTTTCTCCTGTAACTAGCTGTAGCAGTGACATACCTAGGAAAGTAGCCATCGTCCAGCTGGGGCTCTACCCACTTCCCACCCTCCCTGCTAGCTCTTTACCTTCAGGGAAGCCTTTGCACATGGGATGGGCATATCTCAGGCATTCATGGGAACCTGGTCACTTGCCATGTCAGTTGCCCAGACTGTCCCCAGGAATGTGATACTCCCACACATGCCTGTAGGGTGTACCAGGCATGATGCCAAGCTAAGGGGCCTGGCTTCTCTTCTCTGCTCAGAGATGTGAATTTCTGAGCCTGCCTTCTTCATCCCAGATAAGAGTAGAGTCACCCCATATGGCTATGCCCTGCACAAAGGCATGAAGGCCAAGGGGGAAAAGGGAGCTGAAACTAAGCTCTATAGCTAAGGTCTGTGTTCTGGGCTGCATCAGCTGAAAAGAAGGGACACTTTTATCTACTTGATAAAAAAGGGAGGGATTGCCTTCTTGTAATCTGTTGATCCAGAGGGGTCATTTCTGTATTTTTCTCTATACCGGCTAGTGAATAACAGCAGCCTAGAGTAAAAGCCATCCACTTAGAATCAAGCATGCCCTTCCTTCAGGGGTTCCACCTTCCCCATCTCTTGTTCTGTGTCCATCAGTCTGCATCCCACCCTACTCCCTTCCCAATGGCTGCTGAGAGGTGAAGCCACGCTAGAGCCATTTCCGGTGACTCAGGCCCCAGCTAACAGTTCGTGGCCATAAGGATCCCAGAAGCTCCTGGCTTAACCAGGAAGACAGGAAGAGCAGCTTTCCTATGCGTCCCCAGGGTGGGGTAAACCCGGAAGAAGCCAGAAATGGGGTGGAAGCAGAAACTCTCTCTTCACTTTGTGACAGCCCACTCTCCCTGTCCCCACCAGCTCCAAGGCCTCACTAGGTCTCAGCTTCTAAAGGCTACTGGTGCCAGGTGCTCAGGTGACACTTACGCAATCTTGTTGACTGTGGCATCTTCATCATCCACTACAAGAGACAGAGGCATGGGAAAGACGCAGGACATCAGTAGGCAGCTCTGGAAACAATCCGTGTTGCAGTGTGCCCTTTTGCCCCTTCCCTGCCCCCAGAAAGAAGGGCATGCACCCAGAGGCAGAGCTGGACAGGAGGCTCTGAGAGAGCTCATGCTATGAACTCCGCAACCTATTCTCTGGCCAAGGTGGCAGCTTAAAGATCAGTGGTCCCAGGTGGCAAGAGTATGGGCCAGAAACTCCCTCGCTTCCCTCCCTCCTCATGATCTCTCCCATCACAGGTTCCTCTTTGTAAGCTCTGTGAGGTTGGTTACATAAATGGCTGGGTACAGTGAAGGGAAATGCAGGGAGTAGGGAGAAGGGAGATTCACAGAGAAAGTCCCCAGGAGAATTATACTGAGAAGTAGCTGCCTTCTTGGGTGGAGGCTCATGAAGCCATCCAGAGGGGAGAAAAGGCTAGGGCCAGGACAGGATGATCTGGACAGGTTGGGGCTAAGAACTGGGGCAAATGTGTTCCCCTGTCACACAATGCCTACAGGAAGGAAAGCTCTAATACTCAAGTTCTCTGTAAAGAGAAAAGCTGCCATCACCAGGTTGCGGGGCCTCCGTGGTCAGGGTCCTGGGTGAGAGCACTAGGAGAAGAGATGACAGAGCTTGTGCAGTTGCCCACTTTAGGTTCACAGAGGGTGGCTTTCACATTAACCATCTCATTTGGTCCACACATTAACAATGGACTAGATAGACTGTTAGGCCCATTTTGCAAAAGGTGAAACGGAGGGTCAGAAAAGTTCCAGGATTTGCCCAGTGGCTTTACTAGTTGTGGACACTTTTATCTAGATTTTCTACTATACCACCATGTCCCTGCCTGTGGAGGTAGGAAAGCAGAAGAAGCAGAGGCTCCAGAACAGCCACCTCTCCTTTCCCAGCAGGCACCATAGGCCCATTCTCCTGAGGCTGCCCTATGGCAACAAGAACACTGGCAGAGGGCAGGCAGAAGGGAGGGAAGTCACAGGTACCTGTGGTGAACTCAGCAGGCTTCTTGAAGTGGGTCAGGGCGATATGGCAGAGGATGTACAGTGTTGCAAACAGAAGTGTTGATATCTGTGGCAGAACGTGAATTGGGATGAGAAGCTCTAATTCTCAGCACATTCCACAGCCCCAATAGCCTCTATGTTAATTCCACAGGGTCACTTCCCCAAAACAAGGCTCCATATTTCCAGGGGTTCCATCTTTCTCTCTGGTACTCTCTTCTAGTCAGGGCCTCAGGGGCCTCTAGGAAGCACTAGTCAGGGGCTGTCTCATGCACCTGGGGAAATGGCACCATGTCCAGCCCTACAAGGATTTTCCTGGGAGAAAATAGTTTAGCAAAACCCTGGTTGGTAAATGGGCAGAGAAAACTAGAGATGCACATGTATACACACCTGAAACAGGCTACAGAACCAGAGGAAATATACTCCTAGCACTTCAGTGGAAGGGGAAGAAAGTATGAGGGGAAGATGTCTGCATTGTCCTGGCATTCCAACCTCACTCCCTCTACCCCTGCTGCTACCTCGACTCAAGTTCCAGAAAAGAATAAGTAGGAATCACGTTTCTAGATAAAGTCAGAATTTCTACTCTGTGTTTATTCAGGGGCACTGAAAAATCAAGTCTGCTCTGGGCCTCATCAGAGCTTCATTTAATCCTCTGCCCCTAAAAATAGGCCTTAGTTGGGGCCCAACATCTACAAAGTTTCTAGAGTCAGCATCAGCCCCTTTAAGGGCTGTCAATCCCTGGTCCCTACCTCAAATGACTTCCTCTACAAAGAGAAAGGCTAGGCCTACTCTAGGGTCAGGTCTCTCAGAGCCTGACCCAAGCTCCTGGGTGAGTGGACCTCCAATTGACAGTTAAGGCAGGACTTGGCCAGGTTACTCTGAACATGCATGCATCCCTACCCTACCCCAAGTAAGGGGCTATTGATCAGGGGAGAAGCCACTGCTCGGTTTGGCTCCACAACCACCAGGGTGTCTTAAGAAGAGACATTATTGCATTTGAAGTAAGCCAAGAAGGCAGGATCCATCTCATGGGTCCTCTAGTCCCCAAGGGGAACTGACCCCAAAAGAAATCTGCATACAACTATCTACACAAAGAGGAAAGAAGTCATAGAGACCTCAAGAGATCCATGGACCTAGGACAAAGTTGTAGCTTTCGGCATTAGGGAAGCAAAATAAAATGAGCCACTCAGATTGTAACTGCAGGATTTTTACAGCCTAGTGCTCTGCCCTGGGCTTGTGTAATAGCCAGGAAGGTGGGAGGGCTCAAAAGGTCAGGCTAGAGTTCCACGCAGTTCCAGCAGAGGCTAGGTCCTTCTCTAGAGCAGGGGATGAGAGCCAGGTGGAGGAGGTACCAGAAGCCTTCAGGCTGCCCTTGGCCAGCATTGATGTCCTGAGCTAATGGGGCTAAAGGATAGGGGAGACATCTAGGAGGCTGCTTCTCTGTCCAAGGTCTCATCCCTCTCTGTTCTCAAGGACTGGGCGAGTCTCCATGATATGCCCAACCCTGCCATCTGGGACTATCCACTAAGGGATACACCAGGAAGGCTTCCTGAAAGTAGAGCTGATGTTCCATGAACAGACTGATATACTCCCTATTTTTCAGTCCTCACAGATAAAGGCAGATCTATTAAGTCATGGCTTACTTTACCCCTCCTCCAATCTGAGGCTGCCCAGGGCAGACTAGAGCTCAGCCTGAGAAAAATGGACATTTCTCTTCTTCCAAACCTTCCTCTTTTCTTTCCCATTTAGTATACAGAGTTCAAAATAGGCCTGAGGAAGATTCAATTTCCTAAGCACCACTGAGTGCTCCAGCCCAGAAGTAGAGTCCATTGCTGGGACAAGTTCAGCTGTTGGTCTAGGTGGCAGTGAGGGAGTAAGGAAGGTGGCCAGATAGAGCCCTGGGGGGAACCACTCACAGGAGAGATCCCTCAATGGCTAGATAGCTAGGACCCACAGCTTGCAGGATTTCTAACAAACACCAATAAGGGGGGTGGGAGGGTCTTACTAGTTCTCCATCTCTACCCAGTAGAATCCACCCAGCAAGAGTCCCTTCTTCCAAAGTGGAAGAAGATCCACCAACGTCCCCTGCTCATTTCTCCTTCTGTAAACATCGGTTGGGTTGGGGAGGCGGGGGCGGTTAAATGCAAATCATCCCTCTCGGACTATCCGACTAAGATGGGCAGACTCACCAGACTCTTGGACACACGAGGACCCATGTCCAGAACACCGCTGGAGGTGGGGAACAGAACGGCGGGCGGGGGGAGGGGCGTGTAGATGGGAGGAACGGAAATCGACTGGCTTTGTTTATCGCTCAGCTACCCAGTAGATCCGATCTAGGGGTTAGCTAGCCGGGGTACAGGTCCTTCTGTCAGGCCAGGGCTCTTCGTCCCTCAACCCTGGTCCAGGCAGAGTCTGACAAAGCTCTGAGATCAGGTGGTCACATTCTGACCCTAACTTCTTCCTTTCTCGCTCTACACCCGTGCTTCTCCCCACTTCGGTCCTACCCTTCCAGCCCCGTCCGGCACTCACAATGCACTCGCGGACCCTCTCGTGGAACAGCTGCTCTCGCACAGATAGCACTTCGTAGTCAGCTGCTTCCATACTCTGCTCAGCATGACTGGGGCAAGGGTGTCTCCGGGCCCGGGTAGGACTAGCGGGGATGAAGCCACCGCCGCCAAGCACCCGGACCCAGCCGAGGAGCCTCTCTTCGCAGCCTGCGACGGAAACCGGGGTAATCTGAGGTTCAGATTCAGTCTTCTCAACGCCCCGCCCTTAAAGGGGCAGGCACCAGCGGGCCTCGCTTTAAAGTGTCCCTTCCCCCGCCCCCTGCTCCCTCCCCTTTAAGGTCGGGCCTCGGTCACGTTTCAACGCAAACACCCGCCACCCGGCTGGCTACGAGGAAGCGACCGTCCGGGTTCTATTTTACTGGAGACCGAGTGACGACACAAGGGATGGGCGTGTTCCTTTTAGAGAGCGTAATTCATTGGCTCCTGGGGAACTGCCGCTCATCGCTAGAGGAACGCTAATAGGCTTGCCGGGCGAAAAGAGGCGGATCTTTGAAGCCAATTGCTGCTCCTTCTAAAACCAACCGTCTCTCTCACTTCCCATAGATGACAGGTGAGTATTCCTGCACTTTAGTAGCGACACAAATTTTAGTTTGATCGTGGTTAAATGAACCATTTGGAGCAAGCCAGCCAGGATGTGAGAGCTTCTTGGGGCTTCTGAAAGGTGCCGCTGCCCAGAAAACCAAGGCCCGTAGCAACATTTTCTGAATGGGTTTATGTTGGAGTGAGGGCCCCCTTCGCCCCCAGGAGTTTTCACTCAGTCATTTTTGTGGATGGCCAAGTGTGTGCTAGAGCAAATACTAAAGAAAACTGAATAAAACTTCTGAAACTTTGTGAGGAAATGCCCAGGGGATCATTGCCAAGTGGGGCTGAATCAAACATTAGCTGACCTATGTGACTGACATTCACTTTATAGACTTTATATGACTTTTATATCATGCAAACGTACAGGGCAACGTGTTGTGATTAGTATTTTAGAGATTAGAAGAAGATGAGAGGTTGTCCTGTGCCCAGGGTCACAAAATTAGAATGCAAGTTACTTTCCTGCGACTATGGCATAAGTACTGTTTGAAAAGTCCCACCTAGAGGAAGTTGAACACTTCCTCTAAATTGGAGCAGCGCAGAGAAACTCAAAGGAAGGGCTGAGTTTTGCAAAGCCCCCCAATGAAGAATAAGAGGCCAAGTCCAAAGGCATTAGGCTGCATCCAGTTACTATCTGTAAGAGTCAGGGCCAGAATTAACAACTGAATTCTGTACCGTTGTAACTCCTCTGGGTAAGTTATTTTTATCTCTTCTGTTTCCTCACTGATTTGTCATAGAACCTTAGGAAATAAAATGCACATATTTGCATACATACATACATACATACATACATACATACATACATACATATCTGTCTTTGGCAATAGCAAGATAATGAGAGAGCCTCCAGAGCCGATTTCCCTCTCAGCAACCAAACTTGAAAGTAACAACTCAGATGAGGGACAGTAGATAGACACAGTTTCAAAGAGAAGATAACTGGCTGGGGGGACTTGGCTCTGCTACAAGGAAATGAGAAGACAGTGGTGGCTTAGGTCTACTGAGTGTTTTGTAGGAATAAATATGAATGGATCAAGGCCCTGCCTGCCCTGGAGGAACTTACAGCTTGTCAGGGAGAGGAGGTTCTGGTGCTTAACACTTCTCAGATATTAATTTCAAGCCTATGTGCTTTAATGATCTTATTAAAACATAAATCAGATCTTGTCCCTGCTCAAACCCCTCAACAGTGATCCGTTTGCACTTGTAAATTCACCTGCCTTAAAGTAAGCCTACAGAGGTTGCAACACAGTGGCTTTTGGGCTACATTAGATGTGCTATGTTTTGTTTGGCTCACAGTGTTTTTAACACATTTCGGCATTTAATGATCAGGAGATGACACCTTGAAAATTCAGATTTCTGCCTCTTAAATAGAAGATCTGGGCAACAAGGACATGTGGCTCTGTAGATGGAACAGGAAGTATTACTACAGCCTTCCACGGCCCCTATTACTCAGGCAAGCGCTTATGTCTCACCAATTTTTCCATTCAAATTGTCAGCCCAGCTGACAATTGAGTTAGTGACCTGTGAGCTGTCCCCTTATTACTGTTTCAACTAAGTACCATCCTCACTTTGGCCTTCCTCAGGACTCTGCATTTGCTGTTTTCTTTGCCTGGAACAGTTGTCTCCTCCTCCTCCTTCTCAATTCACTTTTGGCTGGCCCTGTTTCCTTCAGGTTTGAACTTAAATGTTATCTGCTCAGAGCAGTCTCCCCATCCCTCCACTACCTTATTTAAAGCAACCTATTTTTGTCATATTATTTATTACAAATTGCCTTAATTTGTTTGCATTTGTTTGTCCCCCACCCCACCCCCGTTAGGCTTCTAAAGGAAAGGAATCATATTTGGTTTTGCTGACATGAGAACATCCAAACCCGTAAAGAATTTTTAGTAGTTTATCTGAGCCAAAACTTATGACAGTTTTAAAGTTTCTTTTATGCATTTGAAATTAAGGAGGGAGAAAGCAAGGCAGGAATTGGCTTATAGGTAGTTAACAAGATTACGTGCTTTCTTAAGGATGGTTAAGCTTACTTCAAAGGTGTGTTAACCTAGATGCACAAAAAGGATGGACAGGGCCTGCCTAAGGCAAAGATAAACTTACTAAAAAAGTTATATGCCTGAGGCATGACTACCTATTGTGACCTGCCCATTTAGGAATTTATGATCAGATCATCTTGTGAGGTTATTTTCTGTATAACTCCCGTATTTGTCCATATCTCAAACATGGTTATTTCCTTAGCCTGGGACCTAATACACATGTATTACAAATGTAGTGAGAAAAGATGGCAGGCATTGCTAATAATCAGAAGAGCTGGGTTCTGGTTCTAGCATTGTCAACCTGGGCTACACTCGATCTCATTGCAAAACTAGAAGACCCTTCAGATTGCTTCCAAATCTATGAATCTAATGTTCATGGTCCTTTGCAGTTCACAAAGTGTTGTGACATCACTTGAGTCACAGACTATTATATCTGATTCTTACAACAACTGGTTAACATAGATTCTGCTTAAAAATTAGCATCATCCAGAATGTACTATACTGATACGTATAACTGAAGTGAAATTTAAAAGGCATCATCCAGAATGTACTATACAGATACGTATAACTGAAGTGAACTTTAAAAGGCAAAATATCTATAAACAAATGAACTTGGAACTGCATAATAGTGTAAGACAATTTCAAGCTCAGAACAGAGAGAAACCATCTAGAAGATTTCCTAAAGAAAAGAGTTTTGAACCCAGCAGCAATCTGATTTATTTGTTCACAAGTTCTTCAGTCCTTGCTTACGAATTCATTGGAAGTACAGTAGCTTTCTTTCCAATGCCTGTTTAGAATTAGGGAAAGCTTCTCTTGTTTACTGAATCACCACTCAGAACACTGCAAAAAGACTACACAACCTCTTTTTAAACTTACCAAATCTCCCTTTGTCCAAATCCTATCTACTTCCAAGGCTCAACGCAAATAATGTCTTTTCTTCTATCTTTTCTTGAAGGTATTTCCACCTCTTCTAAACTCTCAAAGCAACATCCAGCTGTATAGTTCAGTGGGCAATGAACAAGTAGGCATATATGCAGTTTCATAACATTCATTATCTCGAGCTGTTATTTAAATTTTTTAGATGGTTTAACCTTACCTCCATTTATGTCTTTTCTCCTTTCCCCTCCTCTTAGAGGGCTAGAAACCTGTATTTGGCTACAATTCACCTCTTTCCTTTCAACCCTGATAAAGATGAATGAAGCAAACATAATCAATTGGGGAAAGTCTATGGGAGCAGCTAGGGCTTATGGAAGTTTTTGCACCCTGCCTAATTGCAAGAACCCTACAGGAGAGAACTCTATGGAAAGAATTTCGTTTACAGTGAAGATCTATGGTTCTTACTTTCCCTTCCATTAACTTCCTTTTCTCTTATATAAATGCCTCCCTCATCTTGGCACACAGGCCAGAGTGTGCATCTAGCTCTGGGTTGCAACCCTTTCTTTTTCCTGAATAAGTCCTTTTTGGTGATGAAATACCTAGTCGATATTATTTTTCAGTCAACAATCTCAATACTTAACTCAGTGCAGTTCTCACAGCAAACACTCGATGTTTGTGGATTCTATCTGCCCAGGAGATTAGTTACCCGTTCTTATTAGAGAAGGGGCCACTTTGTAGAGTAAATTTCAATATTTTCAAGCAACACAGAGAAGGAAATAATCCAAATCGAGCCTCCACTAAGTGGTAAATATTAACAGATACTTAACATAGATTGGTTTATGCAATGTCACAAGGATCCTACAAAGTAGACTATTTTTGTAGTAAATGAGGAATCAGTTCAAGGAGATTAAGTAATTTTATCCAAGGACCTACAATAGTAAGTGCTTGAGCTGGGGTTTGAACTTTGCCTGTCTGGTTCTGAAGCTTCCTTTTCCCCCAATATTCTACCTCTTAGTAAATATATCTACCCACTTCTGTATTCCCCTCATTACTAAACTGCTTAGATACTCAGCGTAATAGAAACTAAAACTTCAATATCCTCAAGAGCCCTGGCACCCTCCACCTGTATCTAAAGGGTTCATTGTTCTACTTCTTCCTGTGAGTCCACCTTTGAGCTTTGAAATGATGATGACTTATAGCTAAATAGCACCTTGAGAAAAGCAGACAGAAAACCCTGGGGCACCCACTCCTAGAAGTGACTGGGGCAGGAGAGGGTCAGAAAAGTTGCCTTTTTCTTACAACAAAGATTTCAGAAACATTCCATTCAGATTATGGGTTATTTTCATTTTCTCTTTGCTTACCTACATGTCCTAATTTTTCCACAGAAAACATAATAAATATGGAAAAATTCCTGCTCACTCTAAGACTAGTAACTTCAGGGTGGTTTTCTTCCCAGGACTTACTGGGTCTTCAGGAAGAACTCATTCAACTCTAAGGTGAAAACTACAGGCTGTGCTATGGATTGAATGTTTGTATCCACCCCAAAATTTATATGTTAAAACCCTACCCCCCAAGTGCGATTGTATTAGGAGGTGAGGTCTTTGGGAGGTAATTGAGTTTAGATGAGGTCATGGGGTACAGCCCCCATCATGTGACTAACATTCTTATAAGTACAGAAAGAGACTAGAGCTTTCTCTCTCAACCATATGAGGACACTGCAAGAAGGTGAGCCATCTGCAAACCAGAAGAGATGCTATCATTAGGTACTGAATCTGCCAGCACCTTGATCTCAGATTTCTCAGCCTCCAGAACGGTGAGAAATAAATGTCTATTGTTTAAGCCATCTAGTCTATGGTGTTTTGTTATAACAGCCCAAAATAAGACAAACTGTAAACCTTTTTCCTTGTCTCTGATGGAAATTAGGCCAATTCCTAGAAATGGGACCAACAACTTTGGAATTGCCCTCTTGTCTAGGATACTAGGGAAACCAGAGGTT